TCACGCAGTTGGCATGTACACATGTGTGTTTTGGTAGAGCTGGGGCTGGAACTCAGGACCTCCTGCAGGCTACGTTCATGCTGTGTGGCGGAGCTGCACGCCCAGACCCTCAGCCAACCCTCAGCCGACTGCGTCTGCGTCTGTCTGCGTCTGCGTCTGTGTCTGAGTCTGTAGCCAGCAGGGCTTCGGCTCGGGCCTGGGGACGCGCCCCGCGTGGCCGTGCGCACTGAGGGAGGGGCGCGGGGCACAGCCGGGCAGCGGTGCAGACGACCTAGCCACAGAAGCAGTCACCAAAATAGAACACTCACGGCAGTGCTGGCCAGGAAAGCCAGGTCTGCTGGCCGGACGCGGCTGAACAAACGGAGCTCCGAGGAAGGAAGCCCATGCCTGGGCTTGGCACTGCCTGGCCCACAGCCTCCTGCGTGGGGCTCGGGGCCCAGGCTGGGCTGTTGGGCAGTGGGGGGGTCTGGGGGGTCGCTGGGTCCTGGAGGGGGGTCCTTGAAGAGGATTGTGGGAGCTTGGGCCCTTCCTGGTGTGGAGAGCCTCCCCGTGGTGGCCCCCAGCAGTGAAGCCGCCCTGGACCGTGTCTCAGGTTGGTGGTAGCAGCGAGCACCACGCCTTCAAAGAACCCGCTGCTCCCGGAGCCCGGGACTTCCGAGCTCTGCTGCGCTCAGCGGGACTCTGGGGCCCATCCTGCCCTGGTTCACACCCAATCCACGCAGAGACAGACGCACCCCGCGGCTCCGGGACTCCAGGCCTGAGCCCCGCGGCCCGGGCAGCTCTGCCGGATGACCCCCGGGCACCCGAGTGTCCCCCCCCGCCTCAACCACGAGCTCCCCTGGACAGCGGGGTGTCGCCCACCTGTCCAGCCGCCTGTCACTCCCAGCTGCTCGTGGAGGCCCCGCCGCCTCCCACGCGACCCGGGCCCGTCCCGGGCCATCGCCCCGGGTCACTAGTGGATCCTCAGCCTCACAGCCTCCCAGGACAACGGCCATATGCGGGAAAGCCCCACGCACCTCACCCTGGCTCCGCAGGCTGGGATCCGGCCCTGCCCACCCGCCACCCCCAGAGCCGCTGCTCCAGCCGGGGACGGCGCAGGGCATCCGCCCGTGTTTCCAGGTCCTGTCCATCCACCTCCAGACCCCAGCCCTGCCGACAGCTCCCACCGGCCTCACAGCCCGCCACGGGGCAAGGGATCCCGAGGGCCCTCTTCCAGGGTGTCCAGCCTCACTGTGCCCGTGTGAGCCCCGGCGGTCTCCTGCCGCACCACACGTCCCGCCAGGCCTTCATCTGGGCCAAATCCTGGCCCCGGCATTTCCTAGCTGTGCGACCTGTGGTAAGCCACCCACCCTCCCTGAGCACTGGTTTCCTGGTCTGTGGGGTGTTACAATGGCACCGGCTGATGCGGGTGTTGGCTGTGTGTATTTGTCACCGCGCCCCCTGTGGCTGGGGCTGGGGCCTCACTGCCTGCTCGCAGGCCAGGGAGGTGGAGAGAGGGCAGCAGAGCCAGGGAAGTCGTCTTCCCCAGGAGATGCCGGGGTCCAGGCTGGGGCTCTGGGCCTCTTGTCAGTCTGAGGGGTTTGTGATGTGCCCAGCTTCCTGCGAGGCTGGGTGAGCGAGCCGCAGCATGGCTGAAACCTGGGGCTCGCCGTGAGCACGGAGGGGAGCCGCGTCGGCAGCACAGGGCCCCGGCTCCCCACGAGGACCCCGGCTCCCCACGCGCACGGAGCGGAGCCGCGTCGGCAGCACAGGGCCCCGGCTCGCCACTGTGTACCCATACTTTGCAGAAACGATGTTTAAAACAACCCACATGTGTGTTGCCATGTTGGGAATGGTGGAAATCAACGTAATTTCATTTTTTCTTCCCTAAAAAACGGCTGCCTGGTAGCAGTTTGGAACGTGGGAGGAAGACGGGCCCACGATGCTGCTGGGATGGGCGCCGTGGCTGGAATCTGTGTCCCCCATCGGCCGGGGCAGCCATGCCCAGGCGCTGTGTGCAGAATGTGGGGTGGGCTGCGGGGAGGGGGTG